AAAAAAAAAAAAAGAAAAAGAAATTAAGAGCAACCATCAAAACAGTAATAGAATATATATAGTCAAAATTCACAGAGATGAAAAAAAGAGGGAATAAAGAAAACTGATTAATCTAATAGAAAGGAATAAAGAAAGAAACCATGACAGAGAAAGTACAAAGCAAAATAATAAAACAAATATTCAGTGAATACAACAAACATAAATGGACCAAAATTACCAATTATAAGTTAGAGATTCTCAGCAAAAATTTTTAAAAATCTAGTCAGATACAACATACAAGAGGTTTTACAAATATATAATATCACAGGAAGTTTAATGTATAGGGATAGAAAAATTATAACCCTGGCAAATATTAACCAAAAGAGGCTGCTATAGTTACATTATTATCAAACAAAAAAGATTTTAAATCATCAAGATGTCTATCCACCCAAGGAAATCTACAGATTCAACATAATTCCTATCAAAATGCTAGCATTATTTTTCACAGACCTAGAAAAGACAATACATAAAGTCATATAGAAGCAAAAAAAAAAAAAAAAAAGCCCAAATAACTAAAGCAATCCTCAGCAAAAGGAACTAAGCTGGAGGCACCACTCTTCCAGACCTCAAACTTTACTATAAGGCTACAGTAACCAAGAGAGCATGGTACCAGTACAATACTAGACATACAGACCAATGGAACAGGACAGAGAATCCAGAAATAAAACCATAGACCTTCAACCAACTCATCTTCAACAAAGCCAACAGAAACAAACATTGAGGAAAGGAAACCATATTTAGCAAATGGCACTGGAAAAAACTAACCACATGCAGAAGAATGAAACGGGATCCCTAAGTATCACCATATTAAAAAATTAACTCGAAATGGATCAAGGACTTAAATGTGAAACCTCAAACTATAAAAATCTTAGAAAAAACTGAATACCACGTGTTCTTACTCACAAGCAGGCCCTGAACACTGGCAGACACTGGTCACTGCTAGGGAAGAGAGAGAGGGAGGAGGGAGGGGAGCATGTGACATCACACTGGGTACCTGATCCACTATCAGGGAAAGGGAGGGCCAGCTGGAAGCCCAAACTTCACCTGCAAGCAATCTTCTTATGTAGAAAATCCTTACTTACATCTCAAAGCTCTAAAGTAAAAAAAGAAAAAAGAATCTTAGACAAAAACTTAGGGAACATCCTGGACACTGGAGTAGGCAATGAATTCATGGTCAAGTCCTCAAAAGATAAGATTGACAGGTAGGACCTTATCAAACTAAAAAGTTTTTGCATAGTAAAAGAAACCATCAAGAGAGTAAAGAGACAACCACGGGACGGGGAAAAAAATACTTGCAAGCTATACATTCAATAAAAACCTAACATCCAGAACCTACAAGAAACTCAAATGAATTGACAGGGAAAAAAACCAAACAACCCCATTAAAAAGTGAGCAAAGGATAAGAATGACACTTCTCAAAGAAAGACATTCAAACAGCCAACAAACATATGAAAAAATGCTCAGCATCACTAATCATCAGAGAAATGCAAATCAAAACTACAATGAGATACCACCTAATACCAGTAAGGATGGCTATCATTAATTTAAAAAACAAACA